GTGTGTTGGAGCATAAGAGAAAGTCGACGGTGACGACCACTTTGAGTCATTCAAACATTCGAAAATGCTTTCTGCTGCTGCGGACAAGAAAGCCAAACAACTCACGTTCACCGAGGCATCAACCTCCAAAACCCTTTCGAGGGCTACAAGAAACGAAGTGAGTAGCCTACAAGATTGAAGCTGGTCAGATAACGAACGAGTAAATGAAAACAGAATGAGGCGGAGAAGTGTGTGTGTGTGTGTGAGATTAAAATAGCCCAATTGCTTTTACAATAAATAAACATTGAATGTGTTTAATTGAATAGTAAAGGGGTTTAACGTTAGTGGCAGGTTGTGTGTGAGAGAGAATAAATAAGACAGCTCAATATTTAAAAAAATTGTTATTCTTTTCCCCCGCATATTTAGCATATTTCGCAACTTTCCGCATATTTCACCGCATAAAATCACATAAAACCCCGCATGTTTAATCGCATAATCAAGGATTTTTGCCCGCGTTTTTCTGGAGGGTCTAATATTTTGCTTATTTTGTTTATTAGCAAAGATGCATTAGGGTTGCTGGACATAATCCATCCTATTCTTTACTTTACAAAGGGTAGGGTGGAAGGACAAGGGGGTATTGATTCTCTTCATGGACATACTGTACACTCCTCTCCGACAACAGATTGGCCAAAACTGATCATCCCACATCCACAAACTTTTCCTACTTGGTGCAAAGTTGAGAAAGTACCTTAGTTTGAACGTCTTCAGCTCTGTTTTTCCATTTGTACACAACTATTTGAAAACTTGTCCAACCGAGTGCAACACTATGAATGTTTTCCAGGAGACACTGTCTGGAAATTCTGCCAGCATTCCCTTCTGACAACTTCTTTAAATTACCTCTGGTTGCCTTCACCAAGAAGGTTTGTTTTTGGCCTGGTTTGTCCAATTCTTTGTTTGTCTGTCAGCAAATTGCAGAGAAAACTATTGGCAGGATTATTTTAAACTTGGCGCAAGAGTGTAGCATGGGCCAAGGAAGAAATCCATGGTGGGGAGATATTGACAACATATGTTATACACGGCCCTGAACTGTGGATCAGGGCCGTGCATGCATGGTCTAAATATTTGGGGTGGTTGCAAACACATACTGCAGAAAAGACAGATATAAAGAAAGCAGCAATGACCTTAAAAGAGGTCTGCACCCTTCAAGTACTCTTCAAGTTTTATGTGCTTTGGCTGAAAGATGTGTCTTCTCAAGTTGGACCAATCAAAGCCTTGCGACACCCTTAGACTATATATATATATATATATATACATAATACAATGCAAATGAATGCCAAAGCTGTATAATGATCAGCTGCATGATGACACAATGATAGATGAGGTGTGATCACAGCCTGAGTTCATAACAAAAAGAGATATGATCCACTTCAGTCCTAAAATAGCACCCTTTCAAAGACTCATACTTGTCTAATAGTAGTTTGAGTTGCAGTCTATGCAGCAGCTGCTCATTATCTTGGGTTTCGGAATATTCACATATTTCTCGTCACATTGGTGTGAAGGATATGGAACAGAGTGGACTGCACAATGATCACAGCGCTGAGAATAATACAGCTGGATGAGCAGCGGAGAGGGAATCTACTGATTAAGAGCTGGCACATGTCTGATTCTCACTCATAGTGACACTTCTTCTCCTCTCGCACATTTGATGCCTTCAGCAAGGCCTCCGTCTGTAACGACCGAATGAACACAAGTAGAGGACTCAATAGCACGACTCAGAGACAGAGGCTTAGGATGCAAAAAAGGTCTTTATAGCCAAGGTTCGGTACACGGGAGATCAGTCAATAAGGCTACCAAAACAGACGAGGAGTAGACAGGGACACAAGCTGGGTCAGGTACACGTGGAATCAGATACTAGGAAAAACACTGCTGGAACGCTAGGAATAACAAAGACGAACTGGCACTGAAGGGAATGTGGATGCAGACTAAGT